CGGCTTTCTTAAAAGGCGACCTAGCAGAGGAGCTGTGGAGGCGACAGCCACCAGGTTACAGCAACGGTGACCCGACGCAGGCGTGCCAGCTGTTAAAGTCCGTCTACGGCCTCAAGCAAAGCCCCATGCTGCTGGTACGAGAAACTGGCGGCGGAGTTGGGCAAGCTAGGCTATGAGCCGTCTATGTCCGACCCCGCACTATTCGTCAAGCGCGGGTCCGACGGCTCAATCTATGTGCTCGTGCACGTTGACGACATGCTGGTGGCGGCACACAACCTGCAATTGGTCGCGGCCGCCAAGGCGGCCATAGCTGGTTGCTTCGCAGTACGAGACCTTGGAGAGGCGCGCTACTACCTCGGCATGGACATCATCCAGGACCGCCGCAAACGCAGCATCATGCTTACGCAGCACAGTGCTGGGCATCACTTAGATCGCCAGAGGAGGAGTGCTGAGGGCTTTGAGGATCGGCCTCAGTTAATTCCTTTTTTCCAAACGCCAAAATGGCCTGTTTATTACTTTTAAGGAATATATTACTTTAAAAAAAGACACTGAGCTGAGTACCGGCCATAGAGGGCTGTCCTTGCTGCTGTGAATTAATGCGAAAAACGATAGTCTTCAAACCGGTAACCAGCCCCGGTTACTGCCCAGTAACGATCAACCTGGTAACCCAATCGTAACCACCCCCATTAACGACCCCCGGTAACCATCCACCTGGTAACCGGTCTCCGCGTACCCCATTAACGGCCACAATTGCCCGATAACCGGGCAAGTCTATGTGGTAGGGACAGCTATTGCGGAATCATATGCATGTGGCTATGTGCGTAGAAGCGGCGCCGCGGGACCCCGCCGAGAAACAAAAAGAAAAGAGGTTCGAGCGCTCAAGTCGCAGAAACCAACGAAACCAAGAGGGCGGCCCCAATCCCCCAACCCCAATTTTTCTCTCATTCTCATGCAGATGCGCACTAGCTAGCCATCGAGACATCCACACGCAATGGAGCATGGCTTCCAGCACGTGAATGCATGGCACAAATAATAATGACGAAAATTGCTTTAGTTAAGAGCAATGAAAAAATGGACTCATTCTCCCGGTATATCTGCAGCCAGCGCCTGTGGGTTTGGCTCTCCGCAGCACCATGCGCATCATCACTCATTCCACCAAATCATATGCACCCATTGCGACTCGGCACTTGCTCTCCTGATAAAGAAACTAACCTAAGGCCAAGCTTTTCAATGCGGTCAGTCCGCTGCCCAGATCGTTATGCATTATTCCCGGCCTCTTGAGGTGTGCACAGCCGCCACTGCACGACCCCATCTACGGTTTGGCTTGTCCACATTAGAATCCGCTAAATTCCAAGAATACTACAGCCCAACACGAATTTACGCATTCCAGACCTCCTCATTAACAGTTGACGGAGTGCTGGCGGCGGGCGATGGGCGGCGTTTCCGTCTGTTATCCATTCTTAATTGCTGCTACTGCTAGTGCTGCTACTACCGCAGCATGCTCACACTTCGAAGCGGCCTCAGACGTAGTCCAGATCGGGGGTCTCGGTCAAAACCCTGGAAAGTGAAGCAAAGGGTGCGCAATTTACGAACCTATAAACCCGGTTCCCGCACAGCATTCCAAACCGGTGCTTGTACTTCAGCGAGCCGCAGCCCTTTCTTTTTTCCCGACATGGAAGGATAAACAGTAGTAGAGCTCAATGCGAGCCGGCATGGATACGCGGCTTCAGGGCTGCTTATTCCTGAATCGACCCCGCTTCCCCAAGGAGCGGTTTCACGCTCACTCACCTTTCCACTTCCTCCATCAGCGCCTCAGCGCATGTGTAGCCCTTCCGCATGAGCGGAACCAGTGCCGACAAGCCCTCCGCCGCATCTGGGCCCGCCGCCTGCACCCGCTGTAATGCCCTGGCTGCGCCGGCGTAAGCCACCAGCGCCTTCAGGACCGTCGCCAAAGCCACCCCACGACGGCGGGAGCTGGACGCCGTCGCCACGCTGTCGCTGCCGGTGCTGCTGGCACCGCCAGGCACACCCCATGCGGCGGCTGAAGCAGTACATTGGTCCTGCCTGGCCGCACCTTCTCCCCAGGGCGGCAAGATGGCCAGGTTTCTCCCCTGTTGCGCCAGGCGAATGATGGTGCAAGCGGTTTGCAGCACTGCACCTGCAGGCAGCAGCCAAACACAACAGAGTGAGGGGTCAGATACCTCCGCCGCGATCTGCCAGGGCGGGACATGGGGCCGGCGCCCCGCGGCATCCTGTGGACCCTCCCCGGGCCCTCTGTCAGGTGGCATGTATCAACGATCTCTGTCAGATGGGCTCTGTCAGGTGGCATGTATCAACGATTGATGAGCCGCAGCAGACTCTCTAAAGCTGTCGCGCCCCGAGCGCCCTGCCATCAACATCATGCCCACTACATCACTCACCGTTAAGCAGGCGTCCATCCACCTCGAAGAAAGCCTCAGGTTCCACACGAAGAGCCGGCAGCCTGGGACCTGCAGTCCGGCTAGCACTATCTGTTGAGCAAGAGCAGCCGCCTTGCACGGGTGTTTCAGCTATGGTTGCTGCTCCGGCATTGGGCCCGTGCGTCATAGACTGCGTGCAGGCCTCGGCAGCCGCTGCAGCGGCTTCGGCCGCCACGAGCACTTGGTCCAGCCTTGCCAATGCTGGAGCCAGCGGCTGAGCCAGTGGGTATGCCGCGCCGCTGCACATGGCGCCGGGTCCTCGGTGCAGATTGCTTGACGCCGCCGTTTGCAGCGAGGGTGGTTGCTGCGATGTACGGATTGGAAGCAATGCAGGCACGTTTTGGGACGCAGCGTCAGGTGCTGCCCTAGGTTTAATCGCTCGGAGCGGAGGCTGGGATCCTGAGGAGGGATCTGCTGGGGCGCCGACACCTGCACCTGCACCTGCACGAGGAGCTGCACTGCCAGCTTCACCCGGCTTGATGGGCTGTACGAGACCCTGGTGCTGCCCTTGAGGACGAGACAGGGGGGGAGGTTGAGACTGGTTCTGCCGAGCGAGAGGCCATAGACGCAGCATAAGGCGCACTCCCAGACCCTCAGCAGCTGGGCCTTGTGGGGCTGCTACTGATGATGATGGCGCGGGTTCGTCCCGTCTCTGCCTTGTGCGCCCTTGCATTGGATATGGAGGTTCGATGGCGCTGGACAGCGGTGGGGGCGCCAGCAAAGCCTGCGGTGGTGCTGGCAAGGAAGAAGTCGAGCGCTGCTGTTGCTGCTGCTGCTGACCTTGACTGTGGCTCATGACAGCGGGGCACGTGACGGCGGTGGCCATGACCACGTCCACTGCAACGGCCTGACGGTCAACACTGCTGCTGTGGCTGTTGTACGTGCCAGCATCCAGCAACAAGGGCACTGCCGCCGCTACCGTTGCCTGAGGCGCGGCCCTTTTGCGTGACGAAGAGGCGCTATTGGCGCAGTTTTTGCTGCAAGATGCGAAGCAATCACCCATGGTCCCCCCACCTGTGTTATCCAAAGCGCTGGGTTCAATGCCGGGGGGAAAGTCGGCCACCGGTGTACCTGCCGTAGCTGCGGCTGTGGCTTTTGTGGAGGTTGCGGCGTTGGCACCGGAGGTGGCGTTTGAACTCATCGTCTGCATTGACGACGGGGCAACAGATGTCGATGTAGTGGGCGTGGCCTTAGACGACGATGATGACGATGACGACGACGACGATGATGATGGCGACGTCCTGTGCTGCTGGAAACCATTGGGCCTACGGTACTTGTTGGCTCCCTGCAGCCACGGTCCTTCTGGGTACCAAATGGCAGGCTGTCTGGCGAACTGCTTAGATGCGGGTACGGGACCCAGGGACATAAGGGAGGGCACATTCAAGGTGGCTCGCACGGGCATCTTAGTGGCGCCCATGTCCAAGGAATACATCCGCTTCCTTTGAGCTGCTGCGGTGTCCCTGCCTCGGCTGAATGGGTGCAGCATCAGGTGCCTCGGCTGAACGGGTGCAGCATCTGTAAGCTTGCCGATCCCTCTAGACTGACTGCACCAGTCCATCGTCGGACACCAGCCCACCACTTCGGCAGCCTGGCTGAGTGCTGGGGTGCTGGCGCCGCGGCCCTCTCGCAGCTCGGGTACTCCCTTGAAGGCTGCGGTGGGACCAGCCGAGTGCATTTCCTGCCAAAGCACGTAGGGCGTGTCGCGGGGTTTGCAGCCGACGGTGATGATTGGACGGCTAGGGATTAGAAGCGGGGCTGGCGGGCGGCGGCTTCCTTCCATACAGTTGCAGCTCGGGGCTTCAAACTGCTGCATATACGGGGAGCCTACTCGTCGACGCTTTGCTTCACAGGAGCAAATGGTGGGGAGAGCGCCAAGAGGCCAAACCATGACCTGCAGGCCAGGGGGGGTCACAGGAAGGCATGTAGCAAGCCGGGAATCGCGGTTATCGGCGAGCAGACAATAAGGATGCGCAGCCTTACTGCTTTACGTTTTTGTTATTGCCCTGATGGCGCCTTAAACAGTGCAATAGGTTGGCAAGGGTGTGTAGCATTTCATGCTGAAGAATGAATCCCACCTACTCTATTTACTATCATCCATAAAAAAAATTCACAAACTCAATATATCCATCCTACACCAAAGAGAGTTCCCACGGTAAGATAGTTTTAGGTTGGTTGGGGCCGTGAACCAGTTGCAACCAGGTATCTCTTTTGGATTAAAGAAAAAAAATTATTTTTAGCAGGCTAAATTTAGGTCGCCATTGCGCACGATAATATGCAACGCAGGACAGGTACGGTGCGGTTGCCCGCGAGAATCACGGTAGACAGGCTATGCTAGCCTTCGCGATTCAATGGATTATTGTAAAGAGAGCATTTGCAGCTTCCCATTTATAAGCTGCAAATAAGGCTCCTCACATGCAAAGCCAAACGCATGAACACAGGGGCGACGTAGCATCAAACTCTTGCACAGGATTAGCTGCATAATAGCTATAACAAGTAGAAATATTATCCCAATTTCGTGCGTTTCTCAAAAATACATAAACATTCTCCCCCCGTAGGAACTTTGGAGGTACAGAGCTGGTACAGCCAACTTCTTCGTATCTGGCTTTTTTTATGGCGCGGCCTACCGCTTATGGAGGAATGAAAAAAATTCCAAGCAAAGCCGACTGAATCTACCAAAACAATATGCTCGCCACGTAGCTTGGGCTCGGTGCAGTAGTGCTGCCAGCGACGCGCTGAACCTGAAGACCGAAATTATACGTGCGGCGTCAGTCCTTGTCGCATAGGAAGTAAAAAGTTCGTGATAATCTTCAAATTTCAATGCATAACTAACACGGTGTTTCATTTCAAGCAAAAAAAGCCTGTGGCCAGGCAAGTGCAAACATCATGATAATACAGCGAGCAGCGCTTACGTCTTTGAGGCTTGTCAGCTGAGCAGTGTAGATGGGAGCCAGCTAGTTGGATCAGAAGTAGCTTCGCTGCGATTGCCAGGGCTTTATTATCCCCTGCTGACGGTGGCTGCTACCAAGCAGAATATCATCAGACAAGCCAAAACAAAGCCCAATTACAATAATCTTCAACATATGTAATCTTAGTTTAAAAAAATAGGTTCCTTCATCCTTCTTCCGTGCTTGCCCTCTTGACGGGATTGCCGTAGGCCGCCCGCCTCACATGTCATAGCGACAACTCAGTTATGCTCGAGTAACGACTTAAATTCAAAACAAATAATTTCCTGCTAACTGTCATCAGATTTTCCTGATTGCTTTGTCTTTGGTTTGTTGGATCTGCGTGTCATGTAACGGGCAATATTGTCAGGGCAACTTTCTCAAGGGAACTCTAGCGCGTAGCTTCCTAAAGTATACCCTCAATCCAGTTTCCGGCAAAAAATATAATTGCCTGCGCTGGTTACTATATGCAAGGTTCCTGGACTGGTTACTATTGCAAGGTTACGAGGACCTGCGAGGCGAGGACCACCCGTTCAAGCTACACTCCTGCCCAACCGGGGTCGACTACAATCTCCTAGCACTCGAAACAAGACACATCGCGACCCAAATCATGCGTGGGCTATCCTAGCACTGTCGATGGTCGGCATGGTCGTTTACGAACACTTTACTTAACGACACGCAAACGTGTGCATTTATGAAGGCGCGAGGCTTCCACACTGTCCCAAACCCCAAGGGCAGATGCGGTTTGATGCATGCTCCAGCTAATTTTTATGCTTTCCAGGCCATGTTGGATGAATCTGTCGCATCGCAAATACATTGGTAAACGATCCCTCCGGAGGCTTCGTTGCAGGAGGAGATCGCTGGGCAAGGTTCGATCCATTCGCGGTCTCGGATCTTCCCTTCAGAGTCCTCTGCAACGACACTTCGTAATACGACTTACCGCAGCCGAGCTTATAAAAACCCTAATTCAAGAACCACGTGGAATTAACGAGCAAATGCAGCTTGGCTACGCGAGCGCTTGACTGGGACTTTGCCGGCCTTCAGTTCGCAACAACGACTTGTGCATGACCCCTTAACCACTACCGTCCACCAAAATACATGTATATATTCGAGTCTCCGTCTGTCCATGCTAGCGACTCAGTTATGGACAAAGCTTGCTAGTGCGGGCATCCCATTGTGAAAAAACAAAACATAGACAAACGTTCTTGTCTAAACTCGTTGAGTCCCTTTTGAGCACCGCACAATAATGGCTTACGCCGACTCAACAGGTGCCCCCCTCTGCTGCGGTGCCTAATTGGGCGCATGTACGCTGTAGACACAAATCCTGGGAAATGCCCTCGTCGCGGCCCGGTAAATTCAAGTATTTCCCCAGAGAGCTGATCAAATCGACAGCAAATAAGCAAAAATTGCTGTCGAGCGCTTGATCGCTCCTGAGAAAATATCTCTCAGCTATACCCTAAGCAACTTCCCCGCGACTAGTGCAATATCTCCTACAAGGTAGTGCCCGAGGAGAAACGTTCTTCATACCCATAATGTCATAACAGCGGATTTTATGGCCCGAAATGGTGTACCTCTCATCATATGCATTATGGGCTCAAAGCACAATTATAAAGCGGACATTCGACTCGCGTCGTCGGCCTCGCCTACCGTTGTTGCCTAATTTGGCGCGGGCTCAGGACGGCTCAGGTAGGCAGGTAAGGCGATGGAAAGGGACAATAGTAGAAAAAACGCGGAGTCCATTGTCATAACACTTAAAGCTGCTTGCGTGCATTATGGAGTTAATATTAAAAACCCGCTTTGCACACACGAGGTAACAATTACAGATAAGGAATGTGGGGTTAGCTGACAACCAACCAGCGGTAACATAATTCGCATGAAGCAGCACCAGTGAAAACGGAAGAGCAGCAATCCACGCGCCACTGCTTGGCTCCCAAAACGTCGACCTACTTTCCAACTTGCGTGCGGATTGCTAAACTTCCTGCCACCTTCATGTTCAGCTTCCCTTAGAGCTTGCACGCCCGACGGAGGTTTTCGTTAATCAATCGGGAGCTAGCCCTCTTTTCCGTCTTGCTTCCAATAACTGAAGCGTCGCAGAAGCACAAATCATGTTGCAAGGCGGCACGTCTGCCTAGTTCTCGCAACGCATACATGGAACCACTGCTTGCCAGCTCTGCGCACTGATGCATTTGCGAAGTCTACGGAGCCGGAGAGCGCCTTATGGACGGCAACGAAGCATGCGGCTGACTCAACGTCCCGTTTCCAATTCTACGTTTTCACGCCGCGCATTAGCGCCTGATGACCCTACGCATCCCTCACTACGCATCTTAATGAATCGACCTACTAGGTACCTGTAATACAGCGACCCGCAGCAAGCCACGCATCAGTGCTGTCAGCAGGGCGGAGCGAGCATGCCATCGAGAATTAAAAAAACATGCAAGAAACATCACAAGCCCGCTCCATATACATTGCTGCAGACGTACATGCCACAGGCGTGCGGCAGTCTCCTTGCGTACTAAAGATTGTAACACCGATCAGGCCCCATCAGCTGTGTAGCAGGTGCAAGCCGATGGGTAGCAACGCCTCTCCGGTGCCATTCAATTTAGCCGGCTATTAGATGCTATATGCTCCTGCACCTACAGGATGAATGGCTAAACAACACAACCACAACGAACCCGAGTAATGGACTTTGGGTGCACACCGCAGCGGCACATCACGCTACTGGCGGCGGCCAGCAGGACACTGAAGCCACGTACGTATGCGAACCCAATTTGGAGCAGCAATTCAAAATGCGCTTGTGCTCTGCTATGTGTTTTAAAAATGCGTGCCTACGCTGCGGGATGGATGGAGGGATAAATGGATGAACCCACTACCAGTCCATGCATATGCACGCTGGTACTGCGCAGATGCGCGACTTCCGCAGAGTGTTCATCTACACGGCACAAGCGGGCGCCAGGATATGGCATTTGATTCGCATTCTCGCGCGCATAGGTGTGGGCCAGCATTATCTTTCGCCAGCATTATCCATATCGTAGCGCATGCTGTGTGCCCTCTCCATTCCAAAAGGGTAGGATGCATCCGCGAGGCTGCTGATGACTATTGGAAGTGCACCAGGCTTTTAGGCTGGCGACGATAGCGACCTCACCTCGACCATCATGAAGCCAGTGCCCTGTTTTGGGGTTAGGGTTTGGGGTTTGGGGGTTTTTGCATAAAGCGGGAAAATGTCTATGGGAATCGGGATGGTGTTGTTATGTCGGCAACGTATCTGCGCACATGCATAGTGCTGCGCCAGTCAGAAGGCGCTGCTTGTGACTGTCCTCCCTGCATTGCATTCCCAGTTCCTAGATGATCAGCTAAGTCTATCAGGGCCATGCAGCCAACTCTCGCTCAACACAAAAGCGGAGACCCACTTGCAACATGTCTACCCAGTAGTGCATGTCCGCTCAAGCATCAAAATTACCCATCACAAGCAAGCAGCCAAACACCACACACCTCTCCACGGCATCCATCAGCACCGCAGTACTTCCCCAGCCCCGCAACATAAGAGGCCGCAGCGCGTGCAGGGTGCGGTTGGACCCTCTCGGACTCTCTGCAGCAGGCGGCGACGTGGGACTCCGCTGCTGCGCATTCCGTCCCACTGTGAAAGCCGACGTGAGTGATGATGGCCTAGGGCGATTATTATTAGGAGCCTCAAAGCTACTACCGCTACCACTATCGCTGTAACCCCGGCTGCGGCTGCCTTCATCAATGCTGGAGGCGCCCAGAGCTCCGTGTACGCCGTCTGGATGAGCCACTGCGACTGCGTCAGTCCTCCGCTCGTCCTCATCTTTGTTTGCAACAGAGTAATTCCGCCGGAAGTACTGGTCCTGGCTACGGCGCCCGCTACTAACGACGGGGCTGTTCGGCTTGGCATCAAGCGGAGGCACTTTTGCGGTGGCGGCGGATGAAGCTGCACCAGCTGCACGTGATACATCAGCGGCGGCAGTGGCAGAGGCAGTAGCCCAAGCAGAAGGCGTGGTGGTACTATCTGGGATTGTGGTTGTTGCCAGGGGGGTTTGCAGCTGATGCCACGCCTGAGCTTGCTCAAAGGCCCTCGCCGCCCCCAGGAAGTCCGCCATGAACCGCAATGCGCCAGCCACCTGGATGTGGTGGCGGCTGTCCGTTGGCGGCGCCGAGGAGGATGCGTTTGCATCGCCAACGACATGGGTGCGGATGTCCCTGGGGTTCCCACCTTTGGGGGATGGGATGGAACCAGACGGTGGCAGGTTTAGCCAGCTGCGGTGCCCTGTCAGTCGAATGACGTTGCAGGCGGTTTTAAGCACGGCGCCTGCAAGTGAACGTGCGTCAGACCAGCAGGTAAATCTAAAGGACAGCGGGCGCACGGAGCTGAGCTGAGCTGGGCTGGGCCGAGACGACAACGAAGGAAAAAAGAGGTTAAGAAAACGATGAAATGCAGCAGGAGTTTTGCTCGGCTTTGCATGCGGGCCGCCCTCACAAGGGCATCTGTGCGATGGCTCGGAGAGGGCGCGTCCTGGATGGGTTTTGTGGGTACGTTAAGCCTCCTACGCCCTATATGGGCTAGTCGGCGTGTCAGCAAGTTGCACATCCAGTTGCACATCGCAGCTCGTTTCGGTAACCGGAACATTTGCCAGCTTACCCTCGAGCAAAGTGCCGTCTGGGTTAAGGAACGTGTCCGGGTTGACTTGGGGAATTTTAGCCAGTGGCGAGGTATGAGCCAGCAGCGCGCGGAAAGGGTACGGCATGGCTGCTGCTGCAGCAGCATCGACTGTAGCAGTCGCTGCCTCCAAACGCCGTTCCAGGGAGCTTAGCCTGGTTGCCTTACATGACCGCAAGCGAGTGAAGAGCAGCTCCTGCTGCTGCTGCTGTGACAGGAGCAGATAATGAGGACGGAGTACGGCATGGTGTTAGGCTTCGCGGTACCCTCGCTTTTGCGCGAAAACAACAGACACAGGTGATAATAATAAGTCATAGATATAATTGGCATCCAACATGCATTACTCAGCTCTAGCTGCACCCTAGCTGCACCCTAGCTGCACCCCACGGCTGTAAACCACCCATTTGTCGCTGCACAGTACAGCAGTACACATACGTACTCTGAGGATGGCACGTCGGTACTGTCGCCCCGCAGCAGTGTCTTTGGGGGATGCCGAGTTTGCAGCTCCCGCTTCAGCTGCTTGAGGCGGCCCCGCGGCTGCAATGCCCTGAAGGTCCGTTGATGCCGGAAGTGAGCATCGGTGCTCCGCGCCGTGTTCGGAGCGCGCCTTGGAGCTGAGTCCACTATAGTCATCACGTCCACGTTTCTGCGCCTGCCCCTGCTGGTGCCCTGGCAAAGCGCAGCCGCCGGCAGCATAGCGCTCACCACCAGCGGACGCCGTCTGCGGCGGTTCGTCCTGGCAGCAGCCACCGTTGCCGTCGCTGCCGCCTCCACCGGCGCCGCTACTGCTACTGCAGCTGTTGCCATCGCAGTGTGCGGTGGCCTGCAAGGCCCTACTCGCTCCGCAAACTGTATCGTCCCATCGGCTGACGAGGTCCTTGACTGCGCCGACTGCGGTGCTCTGTTGCCCGCAGCTGCTGCCGCCGCTGCCGCCGCGCAATCCAAGCCCCAGCGTCACCGATGCCTGTTGCACAGCCACGGGTGATAGTCGCAACAGCACGCGTACCAGCTGCCCACGAGGCCTGTTAGGTGGACTGGGGGTAGAATACGTTGCTGCTGCCCCTGACTCCGTCTAGGCCAGCGCCTGCGCCTGCGCCTGCGCCTGCGCCTGCGCCTGCGCCTGCGCCTGCGCCTGCGCCTGCGCCTGCGCCTGCTGCTGAAGCTGTTACAAAGCTATCATTTTTGCAAAGGGACGCGTTGGGCACTCCGCTTTCCACCAAGATCCCTATCCGCTGCTGCCGCTGTGTTGCGGCATTTTCACCCCGCTCCTGAAAGCTCATCCGCGCTGCATCCGCCACCAGCGGGGCTTTTTTTGAGGAATGACAGGGCTGCGGTACTGACGAAATGTCGGATTTGTGCGGCGGAATTTGTGCAGCCCTCAGCTCACTACGCTCACTGTACAGGCAGGCCGCTTCAAGGCGTCGCGGCGGCTGAGCCTGACGATTCTCTGGGATGGGCGTGCGGTGCAGCTGCGGCGCCTGGGGAGTCTGTGGGCGACCTCCTTGCGGGACCTCTTCGCACCGTATCCGCTTCTGGGGCTGCAGCTGGTGCGGTCCACGTGATGCCGCCGCAGCAGCAGTGTGGCTGTCCGCGGGTTTGACCGTTGTTACTGACGAAACGCCTTCGGGTGTTGTGGCCGGTCGCCGCTGTGTGAATCCGATCGGGCATTCTTGCCCACTACGGACGTCGTCCGTCTTCCAGCCGCATCTTGCTCCTTGATGGAAATCTCTGTGCATTTGGCCATGTGCATGTGCATGCACATGCGCAGTGGTCAGGCGCGGCCGGCGGGCGTCGGGGGAGTCCGGGCGGCCTGGCATTCTGGGCCCTGCTGGCGTGGTGCACGGATCTGTTGGTTGCCGTTGCGGCTCTATGTTGGCGCAATCGGTGCGACGTGCGCCGCAAGACGTTGTAACGACGCCATGTGACAATTTCTTAGCCGCTGCACGGCTGTCACTTGTTCCGTACGGCAAGTAGTAGCCACCGAGTTGCAGTTGCGCTTTATCGCCTTTAAAGTGTAACCACACTGGGAATACGCTGGCGGCGTCGGCGGTTAACTGGCTGCCGCTTTGGCCACAGGTGTCCCCACAGTCGTTGTCTCCGCAGCCTCCAGGAGTGCTCTCGTACGATTGAGGGGCTACTTCTCTTGCCGCCGAATCATCTGTGCCTAAATTGGACCTGGACTTTTCTTGTCGGTGGTGCTGCAGCGGTGGTGATAGCAGCATTGTGTCTGACTCATGCTCCTGCTGCTCCTGCCGCTGCTGGTAGTGCAAGTTATGGTAATGTTGCTGCGCCTTCTCATACCTAACGACACGCCTTCTGTTTGTTGCGATCATAGGAGTGATGTCGTCCCTGCCGCTGCTTGCTGGCAGGTCGAGTGATCCGTCGACGATCGGCCTACTGGCGGCACCATGGGCCCATGTCGGGTGGGGTGATGGTCGCGGGGGATCCTCATTTTCAACCATGGCTGGAGGGCACCCATGCGGCAGCGGCAGCAGCAGCCAGTCGAGCGCCGTGCAGTGCTGTCCGTGCTGCTGCGTCTGCGTCTGCTGCGTCTGCTGCTGCTGCTGCTGCTGCTGCTGCTGCTGCTGCTGCGATTGTTGCGGCTGCTGCGGCTGCTGCGGCTGCTGCGGCTGCTGCTGCGGCTGCGGCTGCGGCTGCTGCTGCGGCTGCTGCTGCGAAGGATTGTTTACGATCTCACCGCCATTTCCCCCTATGCAACTGTAGCTTCGGCCCCATCCCACCTTCCGCTGTGGCAACGTGGTGCAAGCAGCGTCACCGGCGTATCGTAAGCTGCAAAGGGAGCCTTGCCTAAGTATGCGGATCTGTTTGCGGCCAGGTTGGATTGAAGTGGTGCCCGGGGACTGCCATTCCGCATGTCGCTTGGGCGGCTGGGACTGGGGCCCTCCATGCGCGATGCGAAAGTCAGGATACATAGTGCCCTGGAATACCTCTGCGTCGGTCGCGGAAGCCGACTCCGCGACGGAAGCAGCTGCCAGCAACCTTCGACGTTTCGGCTCCGAATACTGGGACGCATCTGTGTCGCCAGGACCAATCCGAAACACGCAGAATGCTTCCTGCGGGTCAAAGCACATAAAGGTGATTTTACTTAAGGTCGAGGTAAACCTATAACGTGGCACGGTCCGGCGGCCATCACGAAGCAAACGCGCACGATGCACGCGCGCACAGTACAACTAGTGGGAACTTTTCTGCAACTGAGGGCGAGGCTGCTAAGGAAACGTAAGTACCAGTGAAACATGAATTTTAAGAATTGCGGATTGTAGAAGGCGGCCAGGTACGGAGCAAGGACACGATGAGCTGCGTACGTAACCGTGATGAACGGAATATCCGCACGGGTAAAGATCACTGATCAGGGATCACCGGGCAAGAATCAGATAGACCTGCTGGAAAATTATCTTACCTCTCCAGAACCGTGTCTGATGTAAGTCATGTTAATAGGGCTGGAATCTTGGCGGGTAGTTTGCAAGTAAACTTAATGCTCCTCCTCTGCTCCGTAAATCCAAAGTAGTAGAGTTTTCAGACCTTCAAAGAGGCCTGATCAGAACTTAAAACGGACCTAAAATTTGGAGTCTTTATTTTGTTATCGTAATTCATATAAATAGGTATACTTTATACGACTTGTGGCCCGTGCTTGGTATGTAGCGTCCCGTAGCGCAAACGACACCGATTGGAGAAGCGCAACCGCCACAAGCAATCACAAGCCTGAGAGCGGGCATCTTAGCATGCAAAGATCTAAATGAAATAAAGTTTTACATAATTCAGGCGGAAATAGATTGATTAGAAGTAGTCTACGGGTTTTCATGCCGTATCAGTCTGCCAGGTCTTCCCAGCCAGTTGCCGGATGGTGGGCTGGATCCATCTGACATTTGCTGGAGCCAGGTTTTTTGTAACAATTTCATTTGATTCTATTTGGAAAATACATTGAAGCACTTCTGGGGAAAATTTAACCACATTTCCAGGGATTTCCATCCCATGTCATATCACATCTGCCGCAAAACCCTAAGCCTCCCTTTCCGCTATGGAAAGCCTTTTCCCTATAAGCTTATGACCAAAAATGTTTAGTATTACAAATAGTTGATTCCCATGTTGGCAACTTACTTCCCCCTGCAAGGTTGCCTTCATAGCATATGGCCTAATGAAGCATAGGAATAAAGATGGATTCCTGACCTCATCATTGCCAAGTCAGCCAAGCGAGGTTACCTCATCATCGGCAGCTATCAGACATTGTCAGCATAATGCAGTAAACGCTGCTCCAACAGCTGCCCAATATTCCCCCAATCCCCGACACAAGCAACAAACGCTGGCAGCAGTCCAAGGACGCTCGGGCAGATCAGCGGCCACAAGTCAGATTCCCCAACAGCATGCAGCTGCATTCTGCAGTCTTGACGCAACTGCAAAAACTATGTAATTTTTGAACTTTTATCTGACAGAATCGTTGGTTGTTAGTAGTTCGTAATCCGATAGTAGGCAGGGGCACGCTGTTCGCAGCAGGGGCTCGCAATTGCTCTGTGCCTGCATGCAATGGCCCCACAACCGCCTCTCGTTCGATGCCGGCCTTACGATATCAACCGCGCATGTGCGCTGATGAGGTGATGCACTTACTTAAGGTGCCATACACATAGCGGTCACCTCTTCCTGACCGTTGCGAACTGCTGCTACTATCTATCGAAACAAGCAGGCGCATGCAAGAGACACATGCAGATGCAGCAGTTACATGCCACTGGGGGTGTTCTCGTTCCATAATGTGGGGGAGGTTGGCGGGCCCGGGGTTGGGGGTTGAACCTCCAGCAGTAATTGTTGTTCGTGCAGCTAAGATATACTAGCCGGCCTGTACGGATTCAAATGGGCCCCGCCTTTTTCCCCGGCTCCATGGACACCGACACCATACTTGTTCGCTGTGGAGGGCAGCAGGTCGGTGGACCCTCCATGGGTCCGCAGGTCTCGGCTGCGGCGCCGGCCTCTGTGTGATGCGCCGCTGCAGCTTGTGCAGCATGTCTGTGTCGTACTTCGTAGCCGGCCAGATCAATCGGGGAGGAGGAGGGTCACGGATCGTTTTGCTGTGTGCACCAGTCCCCCTTGCGCTGTGTTTCGTCCCCGGCCCCCTTCCAAATCACATGTACTCATCTTGACACCATACGCAGCATACAGACGTCGTACCATTGTTACATAGTTGCATATGACATATATATGACATATATATGACATATATATGACATATATATGACATATATATGACATATATATGACATATATATGACATATATATGACATATATGTGCTTGTGTGACACATACTGAAGCCTCATCCATAATGGACCCTTAAGTAAACACGTTTGCACGTCCAGATATTCCACGTTAAACCATACTGTTTCTTACACATACAAGAACAGCAGCGGGAAAGCACACGACCACGCGGTCTTTTATCTGTACCGGGATACCTAGGGGTACCTAGCACCATGCATCCAGCGCAAAAAGCAAATCGCGTTGCTTGGATGATAATTAGGGAGCACGCATGGGGACGAAATCCTGAAAGGAAACGGTTTGAGTGGCAGCAGCGCCCGTGGCTACCACTATATGCAAGCGCCACCTGCTGCGTCGCCAAAACAGGCAACGCACCAACTGTGCGACCAGCTGTGCATGGCCCCTCCTTGCGGCCATTTTCCTTTCTTGCGAAGAAATAACGGCGGGCGATCATTATTATTATTGCTACCGCCACAGTTCACACAAGGGCTGACAGTCCCACTGTAACAACCACACACACAGTTAAGCGGTTGCCATGCCTCGCAAACAAAAAGGAATCGAACTAACCAACGAGTGCATTTAATCATCGGGTGTCGTGGCTGGATGCTGCTGAAATAAAAGGCCTCCCAACACGCTGGCAGTGCGTTTTAGCGTGTACTTATAGATGGTGCGTGCGCCGCACTACTGTACCACGGCTAGGGTTTTTTGGACTTAGCACACAGCAGCCAAAATAGGCAACGGTACCCATCACGGATTTTGCAACAATGCCGTCGAAGTGCACGATAAAGCCGAGAGCAGCTTCGAGCCTGGAGCTGCCACGAGCTTCACCACCTCAAACGAGATTCCCCGTGAGCAGGCCGGACTCGGACCTAGTACCCGAGTACACACACACACGAGTTCCTAACGATAAATCTATCAGCATGTCATCTATTCCGATAATGAACGGCAATGAACGGAACACGTCTTCCGCCGGATGACCCACATCACCCGCCACCTTGCAACAATAACGGTAACAGAACACGTACACCAAAACACACAACCATCACACAACCACCACACAAAACACACCACCACCACGCAAAACACACCACAAGCTGGCTCCCTCCCCCCCCGGTGCCAACCATCACAGCCGCGCCATCCACCCCCATGCACCCGCATCGTCCAATCATATACAGCACACACGACAGACCATCCGAGGCCCACAGCTGGGATCCACTCATCGCAAGACCCCAGGGCGACGACTGGCGGGGCCTGCGCTGAACGCGCCGGGGGATGGGGACCAAACACAGGAGCGGAACACGGTGACAGGTGTGGTTGGTGGCAGCCAAGGCGATAGCTGCACCGATAGCAACCCCCTTGGAGCGGGCCCACGCCTGGGCAGTCGTGGACTTCTGGGCGCGTTTTGCTCTCTTGCGTGACGCTGGGTGTCCCACAGGGAGGCTGTGGGGCCCAGAGGCCCCCTGTCCGGTAGGGCGGCCTGCACTGGCCGGTGGCCCGGCCCTCCGGGAACCTAACCACCACCACCACCACCACCACCACAGCCTCCCCGTCATGTAACCCCTACAGCGCTGTGAACGATCGCATAGATCGTCCGAGCGGCGGGTACATCAATTATACATACATACATACTTACTTACTTACATACTTGTGCTTACTTATCAGGACCCTTTAGGCTGCTGCCACCCACGCACAAATCACCACTCGCCCTGCCCCACTTCAGCCCTCACCCCGGCACACCACCAAGGGTGTTTGATACGATAAATGCTGAAAAGTAATGTTACACAGTACAGCACAGCCACAGCGCAGCCACAGCACGACCGCAATGCGGCACGGTACAAAGCAGACCGTGAAGGTGGAGGGATAAAGATACGTGCGGGGCACAAGAGCGTGTAGGCGCCAGCGTGGCACATACCGCACATGGATGCACATGCATCTTGATGGATGGATGGATGCTGCCGTGTGCGAAGAGCTTTGCAACGGAAGCAAGCACGGTCCGTCCATCTTTGTGTCCGTCTGTATGTACGGAGGTATGTGTTCGACGTGCGCAAATTGGTTTTGTATGCAGGTCGTGTGCCTGCAAGGATGCCATCCAGGGAAGGAAACCGTCGCGACCAATGTTGTACTTCATTCCGTTGATGCCGTCCTCATCGTCATGACATATTGACGTCATCATCATCATTACCATCATCATATGACACATCCAGCCCGTCACCACCCACCCCGGCAACGAGCCACACCCCACCTGCAGTAATGGTTGTAGTGGATCACCAAATCTGTCAACAACAAAGTAAGGCTCCAAAACAGCCCCATCATCCAGGAGCAGTATTCAGCCATCCAGCAAGCCAGCTAACCAGCAAGCCGTTTATTCCCCCAGCCGGGTAGCCAACCAGCGGCTAGAGGCCAAAAACCCATCATAAGCTCCACCACAAGAAAATGCCTTTCACATTCAAAGCCAGGTGATGGCCATATTGGGAGTAGGGCATTAGAGCATTCCAGGGGGTGTCGGGAAGGGTGGTGGGGGCCGGGGGCCGTCCGCCGCAAGAGTAGCCCCTCGCTCCCTCAACGCCTCAGCTCTTGAGGCCTCAATCTCTCCGTACATTCCTCCGCACACCCCTCCGTACATTGCACCGTACATCCCCAGCCCACGGCTGCAATGACCTAAGATGCGTTCAGCTCCACGCCGGTGGACTGAGACGGGGACCGAGGATGGCACTGTGTTGTGTGACGCAAGTGCGGTCATGGTGGTGGTGGTACACTGGAGAATAGCTCCATACCGAAGCGAGCTCCAATTTAATTTTATAGTCACCAACGACGTGTTAAGATTTCTTTAAAGGAAAATGCATTACGTAGCTGCTTGAATTTTCCAAAGTACATTTCGTTATTAAGAGAGTGATGTCAAGAACCCGTGGAAATATGAAGAGGCGCTGTAGTGACGAAAAGGCGACTAGGTGGTAGTGGCGGCGGTGCGAATGTGTGTGTATATGTATGCATGTATGTATGTGTGAGCAAGTGTATGTCTGCACGTGTGTCTTTGCACTGCGAGTCGCATACGCATACACGCAAGTACATTAATAATAGACTCATTGATAGTGTTCGCTGCTTACTGCCCGGCTGCAACTACAGTGCTGCTACTCCTCCTAGTGTACTCCTCCTACTACTCCTCATTTCCCCCCTCCTACTCCTCCTACTAGCGCTTGACCACAATGGCCAGGAAGGCCGAGATGGCGGCCCCCATAAGCGTGACTGACACAGAGAACAGTGTATTGCGCAGGTGCGTGTCAATGGGCACTCCGAAGATGGTGATGTACTCGGCGTTGAACTGAATGTAGGAGACAAGGGCCTGGGGGGGCGGGGAGGGGAGGGAGAGGGGCGAGTGGAGAGGGAGACGAGGGGGTAAGTCCACGCGGGGGAGGGGGGGTCCTAGTGGGGGGCCGGAGCAACCCGAGGGAGAGGAACCGCGCCGGGATATCAAATATTTCCTCGGATCCCGGGTTTCCTCTGATCAATCGTATCCCCCCTCTTAACAGAGTCCACCATTTCGACATGGCGAGAATCAGCAGCTCGGGCTGCTTTTTTCATGTCACTAGGCGACGACGGAGAAACGGAAGGAGGCGGCTGAACCCGCGCTGAACCACCTCCTCCCCTCCCAGAGGTCCCGTACAAGAGGGCGGCGGGGCAAAGACAGCCGCAGGCAGGGGAGGGAGGATGCGGGCGCTGAAATAGAAACCGCTAAGGCCATTAGATAGCTAACCCGAGGTCAGCTCTTCACCCGAGGTCACCCCCCCTTTCCGCACCTTAATGACCTCCTGGCACTGCTGCAGCCGGGCCCTCTCCCCCCCGGACAGCCGGTAATGCAGCGCCGGCACCCAGCCTCCTCCTCCTCCTCCACCACCACCGCCGCCAAGGAACCCTGGCACCACATCCAAGGCGCCGGAGCGCAGCCCGCGGCTGTTGAGGCTGCTGCTGCGGCTACCACCGCCGCCGCCGCCATCGCCGCCTCCAAGCCCCGATGCGAATGAGCCTCGTTCATCTCCTGCCCCGCCGGTGCTGGTGGTGGCGAGGCCCCCGGTCATTCTGCGCACGAGCCCGGAGTCGGGCGGGGGCGGATTGCGGGCTGAGGGCACTAAGGCTCGGCTGGGCTTACGACGGTCCTTCGACGCCTCCTCCGCATCGCCGCCGTCGTCGCTGTCCCCGTCGCTGTCCGCGGCGGCAATGGCGGCTGTTCCGTTGTCCTTGACACGGTCGCCGTGGCGGCGGGCGATCTCCTCCGCACTGTTAAGCCGGTCGGCTATGAAGACCTGCCTCCCCCGGGTCACGTGAGAGCAGTCACGCAGAAACGTGTGGATACAGCAACAGCAGCAGCAGTAGCCGCAGAACGGGCAGTAGCGGCAGTAGCAGCAGCAGGTTAAGTTCTGCATGATGTGTGTGTGTATGTTACATGGTTGGGGGTGCGTGACCCCATACCTGTAAGACTACCCATACGAGCCGAAGGCCCAAGGGCAATACTACAACGCCTAAAAGCCACGGAGAAAAGGAAAAAAAAACACCGCACATCAGCCCAGACTAGCGTCCAAAGGGGGTAATTGAGTTTCGGTGAGCCCACATACGTTCCAACATCCTCGCCAGACATGCTGGTTCCCATTTCATGGCCTCCAACATGCTCTGTTGATGATCAAATCCCTCTTCAGCACGAATATCATTATAGGCTGGGCATTCCAATAACACGTGTTTTTCATGCTCGATTCGGCTATTCGTACCACAACAGCGGCAAAACCGCTGCCCCCTGGGGACATGGTACTTGCCTCTTCATGCTCTGTTTGCCTCCAAAGCCCAGCAACATAAACGAAACTGCATTAGCGTACGATGTGCTAAACGCGGAATGAAAACCTTAGCATGTGTTGGCCACATGACGGCTGCGGCTCCCGAAAAGGGCAGCCCCATCCAGTGCTTCTACTTCACCATTTGCACTCCCGGTTGCTTCCCATCATGATGTGACATATTCAAATCTTTACATCTCGCAGCTGTACAGTTAATTTAAACACACCACCTCACTCACTCACTCATTCACTCACTCACCGCCTCAGCCGACAGTGTCATCACACCGTCATGGTACTCAGTTCCCGTGGAGGCCTGAGGCGGTGAGGTATGCGGCGGGAGCAGTTGCAAGAGCAGGAGGAGGAGCAGTTGCAAGAGGAGGAGGAGGAGGAGGAGGAGGAGCAGGAGCAGGAGGGGGAGCAGTTGCAAGAGCAGGAGGAGGAGCAGGAGGATGAGGATGAGGATGGAAGGTGGGAGGGAGATGCAGAAGGGGCAACCCCACTCATGAAAAAGGTACGCAGGGGGCATCCAAGGGGGTGCTGGCGAATCACACCGTCCTCCTCCTCCTCCTCTTTTACCATCTCCTGCCCCCCCCTCTTCACCGCGAAGGGTGGCATCCCCCGGGCGGGGGGGGAAGCGAGCTCCCGCCAAGATGTCACCTGCCCCGGCCCCCAAGCCCCCGATGACTCACCGACATGATGACGTCGATGACCAGAGCTATCACTGCAAATCGGTCGGGAAGTGGGAGTGGAAGGGAAAGGATGTGGGGAGGGGGTGCAACCGAGGGAGAGGATACAATAGCTGAGATCAATCCGGGGGTTCGGGATAAGGGGCTAGGAGAATGCAGGACGATGCGGAAGAGGTGAGGCCGCCACTTCGTGAGTATTACTGCTGTACTGCAGCTGTACTGCAGCTGTACTGCTGCGGATTCCAAAAGGCACACGTAGATGTACTCACACAGGTAGATGAAGGCCGGGATGACCCACACAACGAACAGCTGCAGGTCTGAATTCTCCGGAGAGAACTGCACCAACGTTTTCTGGGAAGGGGAGGGCATGTGTGTGGGCGGGCGGGCGGGGGGGCACGGAAAAGCAGCAGCAGCAGCAGTACCAGAAAAGGGATTGGTTACAGTTTGAGAAGCCGGGTGTTGAGAAGCCGGTAGGGCGGGAGACGGTAGGGCAGGAGTAAACGTTGCATGCATATGTATGTCTATGTATGTATGTGTGTGTTACATGGTCGTGGGGGTGCGTTCCCCATACCTGCAAACCGAGCCGAGGGCTCAAGGGCTGCCAGATCGCCTATAAGCACCATCCTACCTCGCACTTCAGACAAAGCAAGTGATAAAGGATACTAACGGCCAAAGGGAACGATAGAGTTGCGGTGGGACCATGTACGTTCCAGCATCCTTGCCAGGCGTTCAGGTTCCCACTTCATAGCGTCCTTCATATGTATGTGTATGCAGCGGCCTTCGGGGTTACCCAGAGCCCTCCGCCTGAGGGCGGGCAGTCCTTGCCGCTATGCCGCCTGCTGAAGTAACCCATGGGCATTTTGACATTCAGCTTCCGTACTCTCCACATCAACTTAGAGCAGTGTGCCACCCGACCATCTATCCCGGCTCTCCAAAACACAAACACGCACACATACACAACACATACATACCTACATACACGCTCACGCACACAGTTAAATTCGCTCGTTTGCCAACCCTCCTCGCCATTTTGCCCTCTCGCAGCATGGTTCTTCAAAGCACAGTCACGCCAAGTCTCACACTGACATAGATACATACATAAATACATGACACACAGACCTGCACGAACGTGACCACCAAGATGACGGTGAAGGCAAGGGCGGCCACCACCACCAGCGTGAGGTGCATCTCAATCCACCGCAGCTCTAGGCAGTTGGGGCTCTGGTAGTAGCGGCGGAGCTGTGGCAGGAGGGGGAACGGGGGAAGGGGGAACGGGGGGAGGGGGGAGGGGGAAAGGGGGGAAGGGGGAAAGGGGGGAGGGGGCGGGCAATCGGAGTGCGAGGGGCAGAAAGAGTGAACAAAACACCGGGTAGCACTCTACCCAGAGTGAGATCAGATAGGACGTACCTGGGGGGAGGAGCCGAGGACGACGAGGAGAAGGAGGAGGAAGGGGGGAAGGAGGAGGAGGAGGGGGGGAAAAGAGGAAGGAAAGAGGTTGGAAGATGCAACGTCCCCTTCACGAACCCGCCAGGTGGTGCAGGTTCCCGACTCCAAATCCTCCCACTCACATACACACATATACACACATACACAGCCGTTTTCCCCCTTTCCCGCCTCACCCGGGACCACAGCAGCAGGTTCCTGGGGCTGTGGTTGTTGAGCCAGGGTAGGGACTGGGACAGAGCTTCCTCCTTGCTCAGCAGCGTCTGGACAGTGTGGATGTGTGCGTGTGTGCGTGTGTATGTTTGTGCATGTGCAGCGGGGGTAGACGGGGGGGAATGTGAGGGGAATGAGTAGGGTTTCGCATCCTGATAATCCAATGAAGCCCAATGATAACCCAATAAATAGACATCATTCAAATGATTAGGTAGGTGTCCAAGTAAACATCGCCAACAGCGGCGGCAAAGTGGTATCACTGTTGCTTCATGGTGATGGTGACCTCAGCCTGCTGCTGGCTGCATCTGCAGAACAGCACACATGCAAGCTCTGCTCAATGCTGTTCTTGTTGTTGTGTGAGGGGTTTTAGCCCCGGTTTGGGGCTTACGCCTAACGTTAATGGTCTTTGCCCACCCCAAGGAGGCGAAATGCGCGTGTCTCACAGATTATGCATGCATGCGGCTGGTGGGTGTGGCCACCCCTGTTGTTGTTTATTGTTGTTGTTGTCGTTATTACAGCGGGCTACCAACTTCTTATACCATAAAGCAAGGAAACTGAGGCCTGTTGTGCGGGGGGCCGCTTTGTACTGAGTCTTATTAGCCTATTGACAGGGGAAAGTTTTTCCTTCGTGGTTTGCCGAACAGCCCTCACCGAGGCCGGGAGGGGGGGTGCTGTGTTCAGGTTGCTAGCCAGGCTAGGCACCCCTAAGTTCTGGAGCCCTGACCTGCGGATGAGGTGCTTACAAGTACAAGGTTCTTCTGCTTGCTCCTATGGCTGTGGGATCTGGGGACCTGATGCCCTACATGAGGCTCTTCCACGAGCCACACCATGTGCCGTGACCGTAACAAATAACAAGTGTGCTAATGTACAACCGGTGCAGCTCATGTTGATAGTTAGGTAACCGGCAAGATTGAGATAATCCTGGAAATCGACGCCCAGAGGCATTATATAATTTTATAATATAATATAATGGGATGGAGCAAGTGGGTTTGGATCCACTGCTGATCCATCGGATGGATGTACACGTTGGGGTGTTGAAGGCTGAGATGAGACACTGGGTTTACCTCTAATGCGTTGGGCGGCTGGTGGGGAAGCTCATCATGAAGATTTTACCAATGCCGCGAGCAGTGTTAGAGGAAATAATTCGGTATAGGGCCTGGCCCAGGCTGTATAACAGGTGGTGATTGGGTAACGAAATTGAGCGGTAACAGAATTCGCAGGAATAGGGTGGCGATTAGTCCCGGTGTTGGTGCAATTGAGGAGCATGGGCTCGGTGGAACGGAGGTTGCTTGGCATCTGAGCCGGCGTATGCAGCTGAGTAGAGGCTTAGGGACGTAACGCCCCACCAATGATGGAGTGCTTCGGCGGTCGTTCCCGTTGGGGTACGGTTAGGTGCAGTGTTTTATTTTTCATTTCTGCCGGTTAATTTTCCAGTCCGAACGGAGGAATAGGTTTTTAGTCGCGGGAATAAAGGTATTCCGAATCTGTAAGGCGCTGGGGGGCCAGCTCCGGCCCCCCCCAGAACCCCCCCCGATGAGTTACAGTTTAGTTCGTGCAAACGCCGGGTTTGGGGAATGTCGCAACACGCGCACACCAATCTCTCAAGCACTGATCGAATAGAGTTCGTTCACCATCGTTCGTCTTGCATCACGTTGAAAGATAACACTACACGACTTTCCAGGTTGCAGAAGTAATGATGCATAGCAGCATTGAACCGGAATCACCAAACGCAACCTGTTTCCTGACCCATGGCGATTGTATCCATATGAGGAACATTGATGTTTGGCCCGCTCGCTGTTGACAACCGGAGTGGCGTCATTGTCGTCGGCTGGCTGCAGCATTGCGTCCACATTGCCTACGACCCCTACACCGTCTTCATTAACGTCGCTAATGGCTTCAGTGAAATTTAGTATCTGCTTTAATGGCCTTCAATGCTTTGGGAGCTTCGGGTCCGAATGTTTTGCAGTATTTGGTCCGGTCAGAAACAGTCCGATTCCTCGTTGACTTTCGGGCGTGAGCTTCCTAACAGTATCCATGGCATTAAAGTACTATGATATGGGTAACATGTATGTCTCCTGTAAGATTCCAACGGCTTTGGCATGGACAGTCCATTTTTGGCTGGAGGAATGAACTTGTACGGTTGGAACATTATTTATTCTTAACTTTCAGGACCACGAACATTTTTTTATTCCGAATTCGGAAATTATTCCGCAAAAAAATAACGCTGGTTAGGTGCCCCTGGCCAACCTCAGGCCCCGTAACACATACACACGCACGCACGACGCACACGCACGGATCAAGAAGAGTTCCGCACACAAATTAGATAATAAGATTTCTTGGTTGGTTGACTGCTGGTAGGTTGGTTGGTGGTGATTGCAAGCAAAGCCAGGTAGTTCCCAACGACGCATCGCGCGGGGACCGTCCAGTGCACTGCTAATTAGCCGCACAGTCCTTTTCTCCCGGAAGGTGTGGCACCCACCTTAAAGACGCTGCTGACCTTACGCAGCTTGTACAGATACGCCGTACAGTCCGCAGCTGCAAGAAAAGTGACATCAATAGCACTGATGAACGACCAGCCGTGTAAACAAAACAGGTTAACTTATTCATCATACAGGCATAGATCAAAACTCCTACATTAAGAAAGGGTTTCAAATTTGCTTTGGACTGCGATATCCGAACTTACATTCTGAGTATGCGAACCAGATGTTGTAGAATAGCGCGTATACTTCAAACGGCACTACCGCTTTGCCCAGCGGTTCCTTAGCCACCAGATTTCGCACCAGGAACAACCGAACCAGCCGTCGAAACGCCTCAAGAATACAACCGAAAACCAACGGCATCAGCGCATTCAGCCGATGATACGCGGACCTGCATCCGCCATGTTGACGATGATGGTCGCGATGGTAGCGGAAAAAAGTTGACCGGGGCAACACAGGGCAGGCAAGTTATGGATGAGGGGAAATGTGAGTAAGAAGTTAGGGAGAACGGACAAAGTGAAGAAAGAGGTGCCGGACAGACCTTGGCGGATTCCTCGCCCCTGCTGCCGGCCCTGCTTCCAGCTCCCTGCGCACCTGCTGATAGTTAGCTCCACTCGGGACTTGATGCTGTCCATCACATCACGAATGGTCAGACCCTTGTAGCCCTCGAACTCAGACGATACGTCACCCAGCATGAACACGGCCTTGCATTGCTCCTGAGGGTGCACTCGGGAGTGAGAGATGTGACAATCACACGATGATGTGACATGCAAAACAACCAAATGCCGACATCCAAAGCAGGGAGGGGACTGAAAACGAACCTCGGGGGGAGGTCCATCATGGAAGGGAGGGGGAATCTAGTATGGATGGGGGAAAGGGGGAAGAAGCGCCAAGGGGCCGGATCACATAAACACTAGGTCTGGTCTGGGTTGACACTACTGCAATTAGCGGTTTAAGGTCCTGGGTTCGATTCCTGGGTAGACCCCCGAATTAGTCGGGAGCGCGAGATTATGGCTAGCTGCTGAGATGTGGAGTTGAGGTCACAGTTGATGGACCAGATTCGCACGCTGGATTGGTGGTGATTGCCGAACCCTCCGTCTCTTCGGGTGTTCGGGTGAATGGATTAGGAGGGGTCCCTGAAGGCTGGATCCGCCGCCTTGGACTTACAGTTCGTATGGCGAAGTGTGGTAGTGGTGGATGGTGCTATAAGGTGATAAATGATCGTAGAACTGACAATGTGATAAAGCGGCCCAGAAGCCTCCCACTCTGTAACATTACAAAAATAAACACTAAACAAGCTGGCTTCCCTTAGAAAGACGGAATACCTGTCCCGTGGAAAGGTTTGTGAAGGGTAACTGTGCGGGACAGGGGGGAAGGGGCTTAAAACCTGAAACCCAACAAACTCATAATGGGAGGGAATTGCCGCATCAGGTACGGTGAGAATGCGGTGCATGGCGGTGGACTAATCTTGCTTTGGGATCACCCACACATGCTCTCGCATGGCGCGCTAATGTAGCTGCCGTATTGCAGCACGGTACCGTACCTTGAGATTGACGAAATCTCTGCAACTCAATTTGAGTGCTGCTGAGGAGGTCAGGAACTGCGTTTTGCCGGGAGGGAGAGAGGGAGGTATGAGGGAGGGGCGGGTTATGTGGGAGGGGAGGGGAGGGGAGGGGCACAAGGATTCGGATGAACTAGTCAGGTCCAAGCAGTGTACTAGCCAATCTTTGTGACAACATTTTTTGCTCTTTTTTTTGTCTGACTCGGCCAAGGGTTTGGAAATTTGCTTATGTAATTCCCGTTACGGCGACAGCAGAATATTTGTTTGTTTTAAACCTTTCATTGAGCCGTACATTTATCCAGATTCGTATGGCTATAGACCCAACATGAAAAACAACTGCCGTACAGTCCTATACAGGAAGGGAAACACCGGAAGGGGGTTTACAGGCAGGCGAGAAAAAGGGTGCGGCCAAAGGATGATAACACGAGCAGAACGAGCAGCCCTTCAAACACCCAAATACCGAGACCCTAGGAAACACACCCCGAAAAAGCTATACTAGCAAAAAGGCGGACCATGCTAAGAAGGGACAAGAGACAAAGAGAGTATAACATGAAGGGGACAAAGTGAAGTGCAGCATCTTAAAAGATAACCTATTGGATTAGAGGATAGTAAGGGTACTGATAATGACCCTGATTCTTCGCTGTTCGGGCAGCACATCGGCTGTACGGCCAGCTTCACGTACACATGCGACTATCTTTGTCGCACCTGCAGAGCGGCCCACGGCAAGATGGAGCTAAAAAAGCTAACTTGTCTCGACATTGGGTTCGCGTGCATGAAGTCCACCACCGACCGGGCGGACGCGATGGCAGGGATGGCGTGGGCGGAGATGAAGGCGATCTGGGGCCGTGTGGGGGATGGTGGGAGTTGGGGGTTGGGGAGCGAGAGTGGGGCGAAAGAACACAGGGGGGCCAAAACACATGCAGGAAGAAAGCCGCAGCAAGTGGTTGCGAGCAGCTTCTTCACTGTGGCGACGGAAGGGAAGGGAGGGGATAAAGACTGTGTACGGGGGAAGAGGAGGGTGCTGGGGCCTCCCGGTTTACCCTACCCAAACACCCACCTGCTCTCTCCCCACATCATGTCATCTGTGTATGACAATCACACGCATGCAAGTGCATACACCCACCAGCGGTATGTAGGTAGCAATGAACTGCAACATGGTGAGAACCACCAGAGTGGCATGAAGGGGCAGTCGGGAGCTGATGGTGGGTCCGAGCTGGTTCTGGAGCTTGGTCAGCTGGTGCAGGTACACCAGAAACAAAATGCCGTTCTTGCGAGTGCGCCTGACGGGCCAAGGTAGGTAGGTACGTATGTACGTGTGTTTGTTGAGAGGGAAAAGGGGGGAAAGGAGGGAAGATGGCGGCATGTGGGTGGGGGTGTGTGGGCAGTGGGGGATTGAGGGGAGGGGGGTTAAATGCCGACTTAAGAGGACAGAAGGTGCAACCCACGGTGAGAAGAAAATTAAGAAGAAATCGCAAGGAAATCCCAGGGACAGCAGCAAGAGTAGGGGGTGCTGGTGCATGGGGGTAAAACTGACGGGCGCTGGGGTACAGTGGGTTGGGCCGACTGCCGCAGTGGCACAGCACCCACAGCACATAAGCCTCCCTACCCCTCCCTCCGCATACACATGTACACACATACACACACGGGCGGGCCAAGTTCCCGTCAATCCCCCCACACAAAAAACCACAAACCTTTGTTCCTTTGCCCTCTTTGACTCCCCTCCCCTCTGCACATGCGCTTCTCTTCCTACCAGCTCCCTCTCCTCCTTTTGGCCTTTCTTTTGCGTAGGAAAGAATGTTCACGTTTGCGTTCTTTCCAACTGTAACGTGCAAGAGCAGTTACATATCTCTGAATGATTCTCTTCAAAGGGGTTCACATAGCTATTCTCAAGACTTTCCTTTTTATGACATCGTGCATTAGTGCGAGTCATACACTGGATGGCTACATCTTCGCTGGTGTATCGCATCCGGTGTCTTTTGACACCACCTTGACTGGTTGTGATAAGGATAAACGTAACATTGGCATGGAGACGGTTAAATTTTTCTTTCTGGGATTATGCTTTTACATCATCTCCACTACGTCATCCCGAGGTCGCCGTCTTCAGGGACGCCTTTCGGTCAGTTCTACGTCTGGTACACTCTTGCCCCAGCTTCACTCGTTTGTGGTTCGTCCTCCCCCCCCCCTCCTCCTCAATCCATAAGTCGCGCTCCTCCCGCGGTTTCTCTTCCCTGAAACTCCCACACGCCCTCCCTCTCACCCCGAATCCCCCCTCCCACCCACCCCCTCCCCCCCCCCACACACACTCTTGTAAAACTCACCACAAGCTGGGGAAGGGCAGCCACAACGGCAGGGCATTGAATGCCGCGTACGTCTTTAGGAAGACCATCATATTGAACTTCTTTTCAAGGCGCCCAGCTGCGGACGGGAGGAAGGATGGATTGACGGGCTGATGATGATTGGAGGGGTGTGTGGGCGGCAAAACACGATGACGTGGAGCACGGCATGCGAGGCGGGAACTCCGCTGTGCATTGGGAACGTTGAAAAGTCCCGTCGGATTATTTTAACCCTTCTTCTTCCCCTTTAGTTCCCCAAAGGGGAAGAACTAAAGGGGAACCCCTTCGTCCCCTCTGGGTTAACGGGTCATTCCCTTTAGTTCATCCCCTAAAGGGGAACTAAAGGGGGTTCCCCTTTAGTTCTTCCCCTTTAGGGGAACCCCTTCTTCCCCTAAAGGGGACTCCGTCGCCCGCGCCGTCACCAGCAACATCCAGGAACCCAAACCCCACCCTCACTCTCCCTCTCACCCGAATACATAAGCAGTTGCCTAAACAGGGTGGTCGTCATGACGCTGCAGCTGCTGGTCAGGCGAATCCAGAGGTCCGTGTCCTAAATTGGAAAGAGGGTTTCCCGGTAGGGGGGAAGTGGGAATTGAGGGGACCGGAAAGGTGAAGGAGTTTGTGGGAGCTAAGACAACTTAGGTCTCATTGAAGGATAGGCTGTGGGGAAGGGGGAGGTTCGGGGGAGCTGGAGGTTGAGGAGGGGCAGAAGAAACACATGCGGGGGCTGCAACCCCCCACAGCCACCTCGGCGTGTCGGCCGGGGGGAAGCTGGACTGCTTTGATGATCGCCTTCTCTCCCACACTCCCCAAACGACTTCGCCGCTAGCAGACGCAACCGTTGTATTGCAAAATAACGAAAACAATAACGAAAAAGGACAAGACCAAGAGACAAGGCAAGAGGGACACAAGGGACAAGAACGAAAACCCACCGCCAGAAGCTCCTCAAAGCAGTTTCGTACGGCATCCATGGACATGACTTGGGTACTGCCGTACTGCTGAATCTCCTTCATGGTGACGGCTCCCAGCCTGGACGCCAGCGATCCCGTTACCAGTGGCCGTAGCTGCGACTGCGAGGCAGACGGGCCCCGCGGCAGCTGCTTCTGTCCTTGCTGTTGCTCCGCTGCTGAGAGCGGCGGCGGCGGTTGGCGTTTATGCTGCCGTTCCAGCCCATGCTGCTGCTGCTGTGTAGATGACGGGATGCCTGCCGCCCCAGTGTCTTCGTCCGAGCGGGTGCTCGTCCATTTGCTGGTGTCGCTCTTGAAGCCGAGGGGTGGAGGAGGTGGAGGTGGAGGAGGTGGGGGAGGTGGGGGACGCGGGTCGGGACGTGGGCCAGAGCCTTCCTTGGAGGCGTCTTTCTCGGAGTTGGCCTGGCGCAGCGCCGTCGTCAGCACGGCTTCGAATACGAGGGATCCGTTGGGCCGTTTGTGGTCCTGGGTGCCTAAGAGGCTGTCTACGAAGTCCGCCAGCTCGAGAGCTGAGACCTGCATAAACGCATGTTGCATACACGATAAATCGTGGCGTACATTGGAATGCTCAAAAACGGCAACGGGCTTTGTGTAAACTCGTTGTTTTTCCTACGGACCTTGCCATTCCCATCTGTGTCGAGGAAGTCCAAAAGGATGTCGAACTCTGAGCGCTGATACCATTTGGCAGCTGCGTCGTCCCCATAAGCGCCCATGCACATGCCTCCGGTTGTGTCCCCGCCCAAGCACGCCTCGCCCCTGAGGGGCGCTGGGTCATCGTTACTCGTGTTTGGATATACTTGTGGCATGACACGACTGTGTTGTACAGAGGGCTGCAACGCTGTTCCTCTCCCGTCGGGAGAGGTGCTCGGAAGAGTTCCTCGCTTGTGAGCCCAAATTTTCTATAGATATATCCTTATATGGCAACCATTAATTCAGGCAGATGGAATGAGCACCCTCGAAGTGCCGATACTCTAGGCCACGGCAGCAACTTAAGAGGGCGCGCAGGGCCCAGCCGCAGACTTTCCTGCAAGCTTGCAATAACAGGCCGCTTCACGTTTCAGATGTCATGTTGAAAGATTTCTGCTCGCCATTTGCTTGCAGAAGGTACGGCACAGGGAAAGTAGAAGTCCGTGAAGCGTCTTGCTCCGTGAAGGGTGAGAACATGACTTGACGTAAGAGACAGTATTGGTATCTTCCGGGGTTGATGAAGCTGACGCCAACCTAACCGCGCCAATTCCAAACCGCCTCTGCATCTCGGGAACCTAGCTTTCCCACCTTGCACTTTGTAGCCCACGGATATGCTGATGTCTTCCAACTATCATAATTGAAGTGAAACCGCTGCCATGACCATGACCCTACACGAGCTGCTTAATCAGTGTCACCATTGCCCTCGGTCGAACCGTACTCAGCTTACTCGCGCAACAGCCTCTGTAGAGGTATTGAGTTATCACCTCAGTCCGCGTGGTCGAAAAGCAAGGCCGATCGAATCTAGTAACACGCACGGTGGTGGGCGAGAAGGGTACATTCTGGTTCTTAGACGATTCTACGCCACCACCACAGCACTTCAATGCATAAACAGATACATACATACACACGCAAAAGCGAAAACCGCGTTCGTGTCGATATAAAGACGCACTTGCAGCTCACGTCTCACCTCCCGCCCTGCATACGTCTGGTGAACGTGCAACAAAACTATTTGCGGCTCAACGCCTTAATCGCGAGCCCTTTCACGTGTGTCAGCCGCATATCTCGACAAGAAACCACCTCCAGGCTCCCGCAGACTACCATCCCTCTTCCCCTCATCAAAACCCAAAGCAGGAAAAATTAACAGCTCTTCCCAGCACCGACAGACAGACACACATACATACACACTCTCTCTGGCACACACAGTGACACGCACACAGACACACACACAGAGGCACACATCTTATGTGAACACTGAATAAAACGCGGGCCGGCGGCGGCTGCAGGAGTCTACTTGTACACCTGCATGGCGCCCGAGGATGCCAGCCACTGGGGGCCAGCCCGGGTCCACAGCGCGACGCCCCCGGAGCGGCCCCGAGCCACAACGATGTCCGAGCCAACGTAGGCATAAACGAAGAAGGGAAGCTTCTTGAAAGTCCTGCGATACACAGGTGCGATGTACGGCAGCACTTTTGTACGGCAACTAGACAGGCAGTAAGTCCGGTATGAAGCGGTCTCAAGTGGTACACAGGTTTGCCGAATATGCCGGGTGGTGCGGAGAGGGGCCAGCGCGACACACACCCGGGGTTGCGGTGTGAAGTGGAGTGGGGTGGGGTGGGGTGGGGCGGTGTGGGGGATATTATAAGCACAACGACAACGGCAACAACACAGGTCGGTTCCCATGCTAGGAATTATACTTCGCTGTAGCCGGCAGGATCAGAGCACATCTTTTTAAAGAGGAAGAAAGGAAGAAAAACTGCATGCAAGAGACTGTGTACCATCGCTGCCCTAAACCCTAAAACCCTAAAACCCCTGCCGCCATCCCCCCCTGCCCCCATTCCCCCCAAGCCCTAAGTCCAAGGCCCTCCGCAGCACACACTATCACTTCTTGTGTTATCATGTGTATGATTGCTCCTCCCCTCGCTTCCTCAGCCCTTACTTGCTGTCCATGTCACTGAGCGGCACCTCCTTCTTGAGCGGCACTGCTAGGCGCCAGGGGCCCAGACCCAGATACATGGTGGCCACGTCGAAGTGGAGCAGTTTCTGGAGGGGCCCGGAGAAGGGGGGTTTCAGGGTTTGGGAAGAGACATCAATCCACGCCACCCAGAGGTGACACAAGCGCGATCCCGAAAGAGAGACAGGAGGCGGGCGAGAAAGGAGGGCAGGGGGGGTTGCCGCGGAGACGATTGCTGTCTTGAGCATCGATTTCATTTGCTTTAGCAATGAAGCTTTTGAGGCATGCAGCTGCGGCTGCTGCCGGTGGGGTTATTTAGAGACAAGAGTGGGCCGCGTGAGATTTTGAAGGATGGACTGGTTCTTAGGCAGCAGCAGCAGCAGCAGTTGTACAAATGGAGAGCTCTGCGGGGTGGGGTGCATGAGGACGGTCGCATCGCACGGCAGGTCACACGGCACGGCAGGTCCCACGGTATGGATCGAGCGCGCAGCTCCGGGCAGGCGATGGCAGTTGGCGGTGGTGTACCCCTTCTCTCGGCGTGGTGGCACGTTGGTGCCCTCCGCAACATGATACGTGAACGGAGCCAGGCCACTCTGTCCCACGCGGGACCCACCCCATCCATTTGGAAGCCGCCTTTAAAGGTCAGATGTCCCAATGGGCCCAGGAAGACGCCATTCTCAAATCCAGATGCGTCGAACTTCTGCAAGGAACGGAAGACATGCGGCACGAAAGAATTTCGGCCCTTCAGCGGTCCCGCTAACCCTAGAGACAGTGATGAGAGGGGGGGGAGTTGGAAAAAAGGTTTTTGGCCGCGGTGGGTTTAGTCCCGGGGATGGGTGCGGGTGGGCTTGGGGAGCCCGCCCTAAACCACATGACACGGCCACGAACTCCTCATCAGGCGCCCACCTGACAGGCGGCCAGCGGGAAGAAGCCGCCTGCGCCGCCCTTTTGCTTCTTGGTCGCTGCGGTGATGTCCTTGCCGGCTGGCACCACAAATCGTGGGAGGCCCCAAGGCGGATGGACGCGCAGGGCGGCGGGACAGCGAGTGAAAAGAGGGGTAAGTGCACACGTGGCGCGGATTTGAGTCCAGATATTGCGGGAGTTGTAGTTCAGCTGCTGACCTTGCCTACTCCTCGCCTATTCTCTACCCGACGGCACACCAACACCACCAAGGGGGGTTAGACGAACCACGAGCGAGTGGAGGTGATGTCAAGGAAAGACTGATGCCACCAAAGGGGGCTTCCGGGAGTGTTTTCGCCGTCTACCCTGTGCGCGCTCTCGAGTATTCCCGTGCACTTAATCTCCCCCTTGAACCCATCCCCATACGGTAGTACTAGACCCCCCGAACACACCACCCACAACCCACCACCCACCACCATTACATCGTCCCGCACCGTGCCACCCACTCGTCTGCCACACGCCCAACTTGCAACCCCAGGCCCGCACCAGAGCAGGTGTCTACTTCCATCAGCTAGACCTTCGGCGGCACTCACGCACGGTGTACACCAGCCGCCAGCATGTCCCCGGAGCCGTCAACGTCGCCAGCCAGTCATCAGCCTGTGTGCAGGTGGCAGGTGGCAGGCGGCAGGGAGCAGCAGCAGAAGCAGCAACAGCAGTAGCAGGAGTGTGGGGCGGCCGCCTCCTTCAGCAGCACGCGGATGTGTTGCGATGGCAGGCAAATGGTAGCGCTGGGGGGGGGCCCTGGGCGGGCCCTTGGGGGGAAAGACGAACCATGAACGAGTGAAGCTGCTGCCAAGGAGCAGAACTGACCAGTAGGCGTCCTTGAAGGCGGCGACTCGGGGTGATGTAATGAAGATGGGGGGTTTATGAGGGTGCAGCGCCCTCCTGGGTGACTGAGACTGCAGGAGCCCGATCGGGGCTAGGGACAGCACCCCAACCCCCCACATGACGCACGGACAGGAACCGCATAGAGACCATGCCCGCCAGCTCCGAAGCCACTCAACTCACATCGACCCAATCCGGCAACTCTCGAACCGTACTGACCTTGAGTTTGGCTTTTTCAACCACTACCAGAGCTTGGAGCACCTCCGAGGGGCGGACAGCACCGGGAGAGGTGGCCGCGAGGCGGAGCGTGCTTAATGCGGCCTCGGCGGGTGCGGTAGTGGCCGCAGCGCCTGGCCCATACGCGGATGAGGAGAGGATGTGATGGGGGAATTATGGTGAGACGGGTGTGACAAGAGGTAAAAGGCGCGTGAAGGCGGAGAAGGGTGCTGCAACTCGTGCGGTGCAGGATGTTGCTGATAGCTGACCACTAGGAGTCGTCAATTTGTAGAAGCAATCATGCGCGATCGTTGGTAAACTGGATGCCGAACCTGGAGCTGCAGCAGCGGAGATACGCGATGCGAGGCGCACCCGACGGTCGATTGATTGGGTTCTCAGTTCAGCGCGAGAGCGCGTATGTGCAGGGGAATGGCCCACAAAGGGGCGGCATGCAAGCATCTTTTTCGTGTTAGTTCTAGGTTACATAGATGGAATAGACTGAGCCTGTATGTATCACTTGCATATAGTACGACACCCTGGGGGTTGTCTTTAGCACCTCATGGCTGATTACACCATGGCAACGATCTCAAGCCTTATTATACCGCAATTACATGACCAGCGCCAGCTTGCTTCAATACAGCTTCAACGGTTAACGCACTTTAAATACGTCATGATTCGTGCTTTCCTGTAGGAGTTAACTTCGCTTTCTAGGTCCTAAACATTGACGATTCTCCGGTAGACTATTGCTTGACGTGATAATTGAGCTCGACTTTGCGGCGCGTTGACGTGCTTCAGGAGGCTTGTTTCCTAATTACAGTAAAAAATGCCGCGATACTACTGCGATTACTGCGATACATACTTAACGCATGAGTCGGTGCGTGTTTGGTACTCGGAGCTCAGCGAGCCCAAATTGTCATCTGCTGACGGACGGCATGGCTTCGCAGGCAGCGGTTCGAAAGCAACACAACTCGGGTTATAAGCACAAGGTGGGGACCTTTACTAGTCCCGGGCTAGCAGTCCATGGGCTGGGCTAGCAGTCCTTGGTTGCGGGATGTCGCATCCGGCCCTATCCGGGCCTTCTACATAGTCTGTACTGCTATATTCAGTGGCGGCTAGCATATTTATGGTATCTGTTAGGCAGTTCCCCTAAATCGGTGAAAGGGGGAGGCGCCACAGCCTAGGAGCTACACGCGGGGCCCCCTAGCTCATGTTTCTCCCAACCCGCGTCTCATCCGTATACTGTGCCTTCTGCAGGCCAATGTAAGGAACTACTACAACAACTTCCTTCAAATCAGCGCGGAGGCGGGTGGCAGCAGCAGCAGCGGCATGGGCCCCATGACGTCATCTATGCCAGCTGCACGGGTAGGCTGCGTGTCTCTAGCGATCAGGCCATGTCAGGCCATGTCAGGGGCCATGTCAGGGGCAGGGCGTACAGCGAGCCCTTGAGCTCTGCACCAGTAGATGCCAGGCTTCTCTTTGGTGGTATTGTTTGGCCTTTCCATCTCTGACACAGACACAGCACCGGACAGGCCCTGCCATCCACGGGGGATTGCAGTTTCCGGGCTGTACTCAGGACCGTCGGCCTATGGACAGCAAAAAGCACAGGGCAATGAAGCACTTTTTTGGCTGGCTGGGATGTCCCTACCACTTGCGGAGGTGTCTACTCAAGCAACTGGTGGATGGGATGATTTAGTACGGCCCATGGCGCACACGGTGGAACCTCCTGAGGGTGGGGAGAGAGAGAGAGATGAGATGGGCTGGATGAACTGGAGATGGGCTGTCTCCCAATCCACTACACGGGCAGCAAGATGCTGCAGTTGTTCCTTGTGCTTACATCCGCTCACACGGGCAGCAGAGAAGCACACGCATCCGCAATCCAGCCACAACTGCCGCCACCCGCAGTCGTAAAGTCGTCCAGGGGCCTCTGATCCTTCTGACAATGTCCCGTCTCGGTATTTTCCTGCCTCTACCCGCAGCCAATGGGCCCTATGGGCGGCGGCATGGGCCCTATGGGTGGCGGCATGGGCCCGATGGGGGGTGGCATGGGGCCTATGGGCGGCGGCATGGGCCCAGGTACGCTCCTTCTCCTCCTCCTTGCTTAACCTCCTTTCTCCATTCGTCCTCTTCTCTTAACCCCCACCTCCATCTTGCATTGGCGATTTGCATGGATAGTGATCCCTCCTCCCCCTCGGAGACGTCATCCGGTTCCTCCAGTCGTCGCGACTCATCGCTTTGCAGGAGGGTTGCAGTCGCCTCCCCCGGGCCCGCACCTGGAACCGGGCGCCATAAGGCACGCGCCGCATTGCGGCTGATGCATGTGAATCCCTGCGGATGCCTGGTCAGCATCCTCGGAATGCTAATCCCCGGAACACTGTTTCATCCTATGCCTGTACGCCTCTCACCTAATTTATGCACGACAAGCTTGTCCTCAAGCTTTTACCTAAAGCTTTCGCTGTCTTGAAGTTTTGGGTTTACTGTGTTGCAAATCAGCGGTTGTGTGTCCATAGCAATGAATGGACCTGCTGGGCCTCCCTCCTTGCCAACAGCCATCTTCACGTGTTCCTTTCGCCGCCTGTTTGTTGCTGTTTGCGTGCAGGCATGGGAATGCGGCCCATGGGAATGGGCATGGGGATGGGAATGGGCATGGGGATGGGAATGGGCATGGGAATGGGCATGGGACCAGGTACGTTGGTTGACGGGCGCATTCGGGTTGTGCGAGTAGCGGCGATCGTGGGGCTTTGACGGCATGCCTGCAGATTCCCGACGGTACCATAAGGGGGGCCTGTAGTTCCCGGGCTCCACACAGCAGCCTTCTTAGCATCAATAAGCTGTTGAACGAGCGCGTATTGGTGTGGCGGGAGGGTAGGGTAGAGGTTGTGGTGCCGCACGAAGGAAGGGGGCTTGTCTGCCCCTGCTTTACACAAAGATCGCGACATCCAGCGCATCCAGTACATGCCTCAATTCGCTCAAGCAAGGACAGCAATGGGCCTAGGGTCGTTTTGTTACCCATTGATTAAACAGCTATGGCGCCGATAGATGCTATATTGCCTGTATTGCCTGCCTGACTGCCCGTATACCTTTCGTCTCCCCTGTTCAGGCATGATGCGGCCTCCTATGGGGGGCCCTATGATGGGCGGCATGGGAGGGCCAGGTAAGCTACTGTCCCTCATCGGCTGTCCGTGCCTGCTGCCTTGTCCCGCACAGCCCACATGCCATCCAGGCCATCACTTTTTCATGCATGAGTTAAGTTATGGCCTCTGCTCTTGCATCTTTTCAGGTTGGCACGTTTTGTTTCGTTTCGTGCATATTTCTATTGGAATTTAGGTTTATAGGAGACTGAAAAGAGGCTATTATATCCCGATCTTGCTCGGTGCGGCATGCAGGCATGATGGGCGGTCACATGATGGGCGGGGGACCCATGGGTGGCGGCCATATGGGCGGCGGTGGCGGCCATATGGGCGGTGGTGGCGGGCCCATGGGCGGTGGTGGCGGCCCAATGGGCGGCGGTGGCGGCCCAATGGGCGGCGGTGGCGGGCCCATGGGCGGTGGTGGCGGCCCAATGGGCGGCGGTGGCGGGCCCATGGGCGGTGGTGGCGGCCCAATGGGTGGTCGGTGAGGGGGCAAATCTACGGCGCGTTTGGCGTTGAGCCGAGTGTTACTGTAGCTCTCCTGTTAGCTGGCCGTCGTGAGAAGTTGGTTTGGGGCCCGCGCTGAGACGCCTGTGGCGTGGCAGCTGCTGCTATAACTGCGGGAGGGAGGAGGAAAGGGAGGGAGGGGGAGGAGTTATTGGGGTGGCTGTTGGCGAGTCGGTTTGCGGATGGAGACATGTACTCAGTTGTCACAGGCCCGACCGCAGATATTGTCATGACGTTCAATGGCGCCGAAATATCTTGAGGCGAGGGTTGAGTCGTGGCGGCTGTGCAGTGATTTTGACGGAAGCCTCTACAGGGGTAGCGCACATAGGACCTGACGGGTGAGTTACATACCTGTACAGTTGATGTGTTACTTACCGTGGGGTTGTTCTTGGACAGGTATTGACAGGAGGAGCCGAAATGGCGGGTCCATGAAGTCTATGGGATGGGGTGGATGGGTGTAGCTGGCAAGGGTCAGCTTGAGGCCGCCAACGGTTCTTCAGCTTGTCACTCGCTTTGGCGAAAAGTTGTTGTTGTGCGAAGGACAGAGGTGTCGTGGCGAAGCGCGGTGCAGTCCCGGCTCGGCCCGGCTATGTGAGTCGTCCGAGCATGCGCCGATAGGACTGACGCAAAGGGTGTCGTTTGCAACATCTGTACTCCTAACGTGTCGGTGATTATAACATGGATAAAAACATGGCTCCCTACAAGGCGACTTGACTAGAGGCGACTGACTTCGGTGCATGCACAGGTTGCCAATGCCAGACACGAATTTGAGTTACTGCACCATTTTATGACATGCAATCGGTGTCTACAAACTCTGCTTAGGCCGTAGGCGTCAGGTCGATTTTATCTTCAAGAAAGTCGCAAGTTGATGTACTACATCAAGTTGGTTTGGTAAGTTCGGTTCGTAATCTAGCTACTAGCCTACCACAACATTTGTATCCTTATCCAACTTCCCAGCACATGGATGAGCAAATCGTAAGACTCCACTTTGTGATTACGTGGTTTTTTTGATCAGCTTTGAGTAGAATGCCTTCAGGTCATCGCAAGCAACAGCAGAAACAGCATCAGCCTTCGCCGTCCAAAGGCAACTTCGGCCTTGGATTGCTTTTCTTTAAGGTAAACTTCATTTGCCCTCGTAGGCTGCCATGGCTGCCATTGGTTGCCCCAGAACGTTCAAAGCATCAAAATAAAATTGTCCTAATCGGACGCAGGCAGATGGCAGCCAGGTTACAATTCAACATTGTTCATCTCATGGCGATGGCAGTTCGCCCCGACCCGCCACCGTACCGTCTTTACGGTTGGACTTGCGCACCGGCAAGGTCAGCCACTTCGCGCCATGAATATGAAATCTGCCTGATGTACAACGTGTTGGAATCCATTTCAATGCAACTCGTCCCCAACATCGCAGGTCTGGGTTGTGTCCTCCGCCCCGCTGCCCGCCGACTCCCAAAAGACCTTGGGCATTGTCGGGCTGCTGCGGCTGGAGCGTGGCGCAATCTTAGTGCTCGTCAACAAGGCTAAGAGGGTGTGCGGCTGTGGACACGGCTGCGTATATCGGGGGATTAGGGCTCCACGAACCTGTGTGAATGTGTGTGCGTTTCCCCCTCTCCCGGCCATTAGAATTTATGTGTTTACGGTTCCCAAGCGCCAAAGGGCAAAACTGTACGAAACTCTATGCGCGGGGCGGAAGCGCGTGCGCTTTCATCCGCCTCCTCCATGTCGTACAAGCCGTACGGCGCACCTCCACCCCTATCCCCCATCCCCATCCCCATCCCCCCCTCCAAACACACACACGCAGCACCGTGCCGCATACACTTTCCCCTCCCCCCGGGGGTGTTCCCAAAGGTTTGCGGTCTGCTGGACGGCCCCGTGTACAAGGTGGAGGACACCACGCTGGTGGCGCCTGAGGCCATCAACTCATGCGCTAACGACCTCCGGTAAGAACCGTCAGCTGGCCTAGGTGGGGGACTTGCTGGCGGGGCTGGACGCGGGATGATGCGGGGAGTGGGTGAAGAGGTCGAGTGAGGTTGGGCAGGGGTACGTAGCTCATGATCTCCCACGCCGTCCGCCGCGTGTAACCAGCATGTCTCCAGATGACTCTGCTACTGCCACTACCCCACTACACTACTACTGCCACTGCCATTGCTACTGCCGCTACCGCTATTGCTGTCGCTGAAGGTACGCGGCACTGCTCCAGGAGGGGCTCAACCCCAGGTGTTTCGGAGGACATCTCTACTTCAGCCACACAGCCAACATCACGTCAGCCCGCCAGAGGCAGGTGCGGCATCAGGGCATGGAGATGCTTAGGGTCCGCTTGCGGATTGCGATCCGCACCGCGGTCTAGTAGACCCCTGGGGGATAAAGGGGAGGAAAGGATTCCAGCTTTCGGTGCTATCCAAGGCTTAAGAGTATTTCGCAAACCTAACTGTGCCGCTGTATCTCCACGTCTGTTTCCTCACGCTAAGGTAGCTGTCGATGGAGGTGGAGATGGAGGTGGTGGGGTTCTGCTGCCGAGCCTGGGTACCTGGTGGGTGGCCAGTGGCGGCGGCGGCGGTGGTGGCAGTGGCAGTGATGATAAGGGCGATGAGGAAGGTGGCAGTGGCAGCGGCAGTCGGACGACGACCTTCGGTCAATGCAATGCCGGGGCCGGCGGCCGAAGCGCACCTGGCGGAGGCGGCAGTAGCAGCGGCAATCGCGTCCGCGGCGGTAGCAGCGGGGGCTGTTTATGGTCCCGTGCTGATCGCCGGTTTCTATGGAACGGCGAGCTCATGCGCCCCCTGATTGGTGAGGGGAGGGGAGGGGAGGGCCGGGGAGGGGGGGGGAGGGAGGGGGGGAGGGGGGGGAGAGGAGGGAATGGGGCGTTATGCAGATGTAAAACTCCTACCACCTGGGAAGGTGGAGGGAAGGGAGATTACATGATGAAGATGTGGATGCAGCAAACACGTTTACGGGAAACAACGGCCGTACGAGTCCAAAGCAAAGGGGAAAGAAGGCGTGTGACACTGCGGGGGGGGGTGGAAGGGGGAAGGGGGGGAGGAAATACCCTAATGCTGCTCGGTCACGGAGGGAAAAAAAGAACTGTGCCGACGTGTCCAAAGCCGCTGCGAACTGCTGGAGGAGTCCGAAGAGCGATCACGCGACTGCTCTTCTGTGGACTGTGAACTTTACTACCAACATTTTCGGAGCGCCATGTCCAGGTGTCTGTGTCCGTGTCGAGGGAGGGGGAGGGGGAGGGGGAGGGGGAGGGGAAGAGTCTCTTCAAGGTTTGCACCCTCCGAGCACCACAACCGCCACCTTGTGCGTCTGACATTTTTCCATATTACCCCCTCACCTTCCCCGTCACCTCCCCCGTCACCTCCCCCGTCACCTCCCCCGTCACCTCCCCCGTCACCTCCCCCGTCACCTCCCCCGTCACCTCTCCCGTCACCTCCCCCGTCACCTCCCCCGTCACCTCCCCCGTCACCTCCCCCGTCACCTCCCCCGTCACCTCCCCCGTCACCTCTCCCGTCACCTCTCCCGTCACCTCCCCCCTCTCCCCCGTCACCTCCCCGTCACCTCCCCACCTACCCCCTTCCCGTAACTCCCTCCCCTGTCCGCCCTTCAGAGGCGGGGGCGGAGTCCTTCGCACTTCCAATTATGGCCGGCTACGTGGGCCAGGCGACTGGCGCCACCCTCACCCTCAGGACCAGGACCAGCAGCGGGGCCAGCAGCGGTCAGCGGGAGCCCAGCGAGGGCGCGGTCGGTGTTCCCGCCCCGGCCGATCTGACGCTTATCACCCGCTTAGGCGTTGAGCGGCCTGTAGCTGGCGGCTGGCGTAGGGGAGTGGACCAGCAGGCAAGCGGGTGCCTCCTACACGTACCGCGCAGCGGAGGGAGAGAGGGGAAGGAAGGCGGAAGGGATGAGGCTGAAACCGAGAGCTGGGGGTTTGCGGGGAGGGTTTGCGAGTTTTGTGGAGATCCTCCTTCTTTCTTTGCCATCTCTTCATATTGTTTTGTATCGGGCGGTGTGTACGTTTGGTGTCCGCCGCCTCCTGCTCCGCCCTCCGTCC